ATAAACGGAGTTATAAGCATTTAAAGTTTCCCAATTTTGTCCGACCTCTTCTATTGCCTCTATCCAATGTGTGGAGCAGATTGTGTACGGGTAAAGTCACCTAAGCGTCAAATGGAAGCATACCAAAAATGTCCAAAATAAATTTCGAATCCCATATTTCACGTAATTCACATCGCAGGTTGACAAATTTACCACTCTAAAAACGATTTTTTTCTCAGTCACCAGCAGCAACTGGTCAAGTAGACCCATGAGTGTGGATTTCTGCCCGATTAATGAACTAAGCAAAATTCTGCCGTTTTAAGAAGAACGTCGCATGAGCCTTCAGACGCTGCCAAGTTTCCTTCGATAAAAACCAACTTTATTAGGAAAATAGTGAATATTTTCCCCCAACATTTGCAGACGATTTTGTACGCAATTAAATCTAAAATATCTGAAAATTTCAGGGGAAAATATGCATGAAAGGCGTCAAAAATACTTGTTTTATTAAGGAAAATTTGGCAACTCTCGAATGTTCATACGGTGTTCTTCCTTAGCAGGATTTTTTTTTAAATTTGTGAGAAAATACATTTACTCAGAGAAATTTGTGCGACGACTCCGATAAAGCATGTAAAAGCTTCGTAGAAGTACAGAATCAACGCGAACAAAATAAGTTATTTCCTGCGTGAGACCAAACATTTATCCCTGTGTCAGCACGCTCTTTATTTTGTGTTGACGTAGATGTTACAGCCAGCCCGGTTTTATGAACCATTTAATAGTTTTTGTGTCATTTTCGTACGTCTAGGCGAGGAATTTACCCTGTTTTTCGTAATGGCTGAAAAATTGAAGGGAATCGTGGAATATCATGAATTTAAATTTACCCTCCTCTGCTTTTTAAGAGAACCTTTTTTGAACCTTTTAGTGCGCATCGTTACCGAGAAACTCGGGTCGAGGTTTTTGTCAGCCATGTTTCCACGTATTTGCGCCGAGTGAGAATCGAGGTTTGTGCTGTCGTTTTAGCGAAACTTACAAAAATTAAGATTTGAAGTGATGAGTCCAGTGCTACCGTGCTGAGGAAAACGCCCTATGAACTTTCAAGCGTTACCAAATTTCCTTTGATACTCGTAAAACACGAATTTCCTGCTAAATTTTTTTGAATATTTACCTTTCGATTTTTCAGATGATTTCGCACGCAATTGTACCTACAGTTGCTGAAAATTTCAAGGTAAAATATTCATAACTCTCTTAGAAAAATATACATTTTATCGAAGGAAATGTGGCAACTCTCGAATGACGAAGGTTTTTACCATAGCACGGCAGAGTACTGCTTGCGCAGAAAATTTTATTCTCTTATCTCTGTTTCTCGCATTATCCATAAGACGCAGTATTATCAATTCGTTCGAATTATATAGAATTGAAGAATGTTACCTGCGAAAGTAAAAAAGCAACTTATATATTTTATTTTAGACAGTCAGCCGTGTGTGCTATTTTCTCTCCTTAGAATAAAACCTAATCTTTTTATTCGTGTAACCGACCTTCTTTCATCAGTTCATTTAACCTCATAATTTTGGTCACACGAACAGAACGTTTGGTTATACGAGCTGAAAGCTTTGTTTCGCGGACCGAGTTGGACTTATAGAGAGCACCATGTTCTCCCTCATTTTGCGGACATGCAATTATTGAGCCTACTTCGAGGTCAAAATAGTTTTATCACGCTTTCTGCCTTTCTTGTCTACTCTTGTGTTAAAGTCTCCAAGTCAGCCGAAAAGAGATACTCCTTCATTTTGCGGATACGCAATTTCATCTACTTGGAAGTCGAAATAGTTTTATGACGCGGTTTGCCCCATCCAACTTCTCTACTCCTGCGTTAAAGTCTCCAAGTCAGCCGAAAAGAGATTCTCCTTCATTTTGTGGATACGCCATTGCATCTACTCGGAAGTCGAAATAGTTTTATCACGCGGTTTTTGTATACCCCTGCGTTAAAGTCTCCAAGTCAGCCGAAAAGAGACTTTCCTTCATTTTGCGGATACGCAATTTTACCTACTTGGAAGTCGTAATATTTATATCACGCGTTTTGCCCCATCCAACTTCCTCATCTACCGTGCGAATAAATCTCTGCGTCGCAGCGGAAAAGAGACCAAGTTTTATTTCATTTTTGTGGATATATGCGAGGAAGTTTTTTTTTTCTTCATAATTGTGAGCGAATCTGTGAAAAGGGACCTCATCCTACGGCAGAATATTTCCAAATCTTTGCATTTGAAATATATCCATTGAACCCAGAATGCATACCGCAATGGCTGCAGATGCACGTTAATGAGCGACTACGAGTTTGGCCCTTGGTTTATGTTTAGATTTTATTGCCAAATTTGGCTGGCTAAGCTGTTTAAAAAAATGGTAATTGATTAAAAAAATCGAGCTACGAGCCAACAAATAAAAAGTTATATTTCAAAGTAAGTTAGTATTTCTCATCGACGTACATGTAGTTTGAAATATTACTTTTTTATTTTTGGCTTGTAGCTCAATTATTTTAATCAATCACCATGTTTTTTTTTACATTTGTTTAATTTTGAAGAGATTTCAATCCCAAAAATTCAGTCTTTGTACTGCTCACCTCGCTAGCACGGCAAAATAGCGCCTCGGCTATTGAGCGTGTCTCCTGTTACAACACGCCAATGATTGATTCCGTTGAATTTGTTTTAGGTGAGTGGAAATGGCCTCAGCGCAGGCGTGCCTATCCGTTTTTGTCGTATGCAGTCACATCCATCCCGACCCCTCCCCCCGATGCACAGCCCCCCGTCCGACCTTGCGCCCGACCTAATGTAAGTACTTATACTTCTGCTAAAGGATCTGTTACCAGAGATCCAACCAACCACTCGTGAGAATGGACCACTAGACAAGGCACGAATTTAAGCATTCTGATACATGTTACTTTACCAGAATCTCACGTTGAACACGATTCGCGCAACGAAAATTACTGATTCCAACTCCTAACGAAGATAATAACGTTTTTATTTCACATTGGTTACAAGGAATTTGAACTGCCCGCTCACAAGAAACTCAAAGCTCTACGTTAGTCAAATCGCGCACTACAACGGTTTCAGCAAGCTTCTCAATCAAGCAACGTTCATTTCCCACCATGTGTTATTCAAACTATAAGTAATTTGCTGTAGCTGAGCAAAAGCGTCAAGATTGAGGTTGCCAGATTTTTTTATCGCAGAGACGTTCATGATAACGTTTAGCGCGCGATGTGAATCACGTAGAGCATTGAGTTTTCATGAGCGGTTGGTTTCAAATCACGCACCAAGAATCATTGAATATCTTCGTTAGGAGTTGATTTCGGTAATTTTCGTTGTGCGCATTGTGTTTTCCGTGAAATTTTGGTAAAGAAACATGTACCCGAATGCTGAAATTCGTACCTTGTCTAGTGGTCCATTGGAGAGAGTTTCATTTGCAATCTTTATCATAATTTATTTACTAAACTTAGTGCGAATTGAACACACACTTGAATCAAGGATCCACACCCATGTATATCTAATCTCAATCTCCATTCCCGCTGCGTCTTGCTCTTGCCCATAAGGATTACATGTGAAAATGTCCACCTTTGTTAACATGAAATATTTCGAGGTTTGCCTTCAAAGTTCCTATTTTTTGAGTAAAGAAGACCGTGCGAGGTGCGATGATGATACACTGAAAAAAAATCTCGGTGTATTTACTAAGAAAAGGGTAAAATTACCAAGAATTCAGGGTTCTATTTGATCCCAGTTTTTTCTTGGTAAAATTACCATTGATGGAATTGGTAATTTTACCGAGAAATCTCGGTAAAATTATTAAATTTTCTCGATAATTTTACTGGACCTTGGTAAAAACGCCAACATTTTTTATCGACTGTGGTAAAATTGCCGAGATAAAATGGCAAAGTTACCGGGAATTGATTACCAATAAAAGTGGTATTCTTACCTGAAAAAAAGTAAAAATACCGGTTTTTAGGTAAGCTTACTAGTCTGTCTTGGTAAAATTACCGATCATTGGTAAACAAGTGAGATGGTAAAGGTACCAACGGACCTTGGTAAAAACGCCGAGAATTTTTTTTCAGTGTAGTGTCTAACATGGGTTTAGATGGCAGCCTGCAGTGTGAGTTCAAGTACCTTATCTAAATCAATTTCAAAGTGTTACGCAGTATTTGTACATGTCGGCCATTCTAGAGGTGTGGTTCGTTGACTTTAATGGAAAAAATCTGTCTGCGTTGATTCTATGTTTAGGATGGACGCCGTATGAGCATTCCATCATTGCGAAGATTCATTCGATGTAACTTGAATTCTCTGGAGAAAATTTGGGAATTTTTCTTCAAATTGTTCTGAAAAGTGTATTTGCAATGGATCGCCGGACAAGGTCCGGTCTAGAAAAAGGGTCCCATGTTTTCATTTTAAATGTTGCGCAGAAAACGATCTATGCAACAAAAAATTTGGAAAACATTTCCTAAATGACATATGAACAATTTTTTGCCCCAACGCAGATGAAATGGACGTAGTTCTACCAAAGAGACCTATGTGGAAGTGAGAAATATGGGGTGTGCTCGTTAGTTCTCTTGCGTAAGAGTTAATGAGAATAATTGTGCGCCAGTGACGTCAGCGGTGACGACGGGTATCCTCACGAAGGCGGGAACGTTCTTTAACTCATGAGCCCTGTCCACAAGGCTCTCTTGCCATGCCCGCGGCTCATGACTCCCGCATTCAGTTGGCACATAGGTCTCTTTGATAGAATGCAATATCCCGCTTTTCCAATTCTTCAAAAGGAACCACGCCCACTTTTATATTGCTTCTTATGCAGATTTCTGGAGCATACCCCATATTTCTCACCGCCACATAGGTCTGTTTGGTAGAAATACGTCCAAATGGAAGTTGGATTATACGAATTTACAGAATTTGTATTTTTGCCCCTCGACCAATGTTAATGAACAACGTGTCTATCGTTTAGGAGTTCATTTTCAGATTGCCTGTTGCGTGATTCAGTTTTTTCCTGAAATTTGGAGGGAAAAAAACGTGTCGCCTAGTGTTTCAATTCGTACCTTGTCTGAAGGCCCGATGGAAATGTTACAATAGAACAGATGAATCTACACGGCTGTCATGTTCAAAAGGAACGGCATGTTTCGGTTGATGTAAGACAAATTATCTGGAAAACTAATGAATATTTATTTATACTGCTGAAAGAATTTTATTCACAATTTGATCAAAAACATCCCAATAATCTCAAGGATTAATATTCGTAACTTCTCTACAAAGACAGTTAACATTTCATTCCGATCTAATCAGAATCAGCGGAACTAGTTTTATTCTCTCAAAAGGAAGGCGAGTTACTCGCTGATTTAATTTTGTGAGTACATGTCTCGAGGATTGGAATAATATCATAAAAGATTTAAAAGTTATTACATAAATTGATCTTAATCAAGAATCGTTTTATTACTCAATATTGACTTATTCTGAGTTTAAACAATCACTGGATAAAAACACATTGGATCTAGAATCTAGACTCTTAAAAACATTTTATAATATACTAATAATATCAAATGATATGAAAGAATGACACTCAATTGACTTGTACGTTGTCAGTAGGTCTTCCTTTTGCGTCCGCGTTTAGCTGGCATTTTGCGTGGTGGAGCTGGAGCACTTGCAGGAGGTTGTGGAACCACGTACGGATCAACTACCCCGTAACTTTCAAGACCTATTCCACACCTTCCTTTTTTTATGAGAGCGTGACCCTGCAACATATCGAATTTCTGAGTTGAGTCGCATCCAAATTCAAAACTTGAGTAAAATCCTGAACACTCTGAGCTTCAAGCGGGAAAAATTCGATAGTCGGATAATTAACGCTTCGCCAATGATTTGTGTCATACGATAAATCGATTGATCTGTCGTTTAAACACATGGGAAAATATCGATTTTCAGGACATTCGTAACGAACAGTTTAGTATCGATAGCTAAAGTGCGGAATTGTGCGTGAAATGTGGTCTGCAGCATTGCAGACTTCCTGCGATACTTTTACTTTGTACTTTTTTTTGCTTTACTTTTTGTGTGCAAAACTGGTCACCATAATTCCTTGAAAACTTCCTTGATTTTCTTATATACTAGCAGAATATCGATATAAATTTTAAGCCATAAATATTGGTTGTTTTTTCTCAAAAAATTAAAACAGGACCAGACATTTTGAAACACCACACTGGAGATAAGTGGACCTCGGCCATTGATGGTCAATTTTTTACCATAGCGTCAAATGAGAAAATATGATTAACCGATGATTCATACCTCGCCACTTACGATCTTCTTATGGTCTCTAATTGGAAGTATTTCTATCAAACGGAACTGTGTGCATTAAGACATGGACCCTGAGACCCATAAGAATATACGCATAACACGGCATGGGCTCACGTCATAATGCACATAGTTCCGTTTGACAGAAATACGTCCAATCTTTCGTGCTCAGGATAGGTTGGGGGTCAAAAATCGAAAAATGAAGTAGGGCACTTTTCCCCATTTTAGACCCCCCTCCCCCTCTAAGGNCCCCCCCCCCCTCTAAAAATTACGCAAGGCTCAGAGCCCTACCTTCCTCCCCCTCTCAAGGCACCGTAAGACTGTTAGAGACCTTCTTCCCCCTAAAAGCCTTACTTAATTTATGGACGGCCCCTCGCAGCATATTTTACGCAAACTCCTACTGGAATTTTCCCAGGTTTTAAAAATGCGAGACTTTTAACCGTCACGTCAATCAATTAAACCAACGTCATAGTCTCGTAATGAGAACGATGTCTGACGCAAATTGAACATCGGTGATAGATGATTGTGGTACACAGTAACCAGCTTGTATAATAAAACCAGCGTTCCTTGCGGACGGTCAAATGGGGGAAGTTCCAGCTCTGCACGACGATGTGGCTGAAGTCTCTATACGCAACACTCCGAGAGAAGGGAGAAGATAAAAAAATCCTGGTGTATTCATAGTTTCCTGGACTTCTCGCGACTAATGTAGTAATTAATGGCACTAGTGGTGTGGCGTGCTTTGCAATATATCGATTGATCTATCATTTAAACCTATGGAAAAGGATCGATAAACAGGGTGTTCGCAACGAACTACTTAATAGTCGATTCTTTACCATAGCTTCAAATGGGGAAATATTGATAATCGATTATTCACGTCTCTCCACAGAATGCCACACATTTGACGAGCATACGATCATGGAAGTGCATTTTTTTGCTTTTTGTGGATATCGATGTATCGCAAAAATGTGACCATCGATTTTGCAAACCCTTGCAAGTAGGCGAGGAAGAAGTGTTAAATTTACATAAATTGACAGCGTCTCTTCTCTAAATGAGAATTCAGCTTCTATCGCAGATTGCACGCTCAAAACTCTCATATCAACCGCGCATTACGTACCTTTATGCCCCAATTTCTGGTAAAACTGTTCCGAACGATCCATGCGTCTGAAACCAGAATATAAAATACAAATTTTATTTTCCAACTCTCAACGCAGAATTTATGTAGGTACGTTAAAAATGATGAAAAAAGAGAAATATTTTTTATCTTGGATCTTTCTTCTTTTGCCTTCTATGGGAAACAATTTTTGGCCACATTTTATCACAGTCTAATCGATGAAAATTGAAAAGGCGGGAGCTTCTTGCAAATGTCTCGACGAAGTATCAGGTTGAAATCGGGGGTTGCACAAAAAATGTGCTCCAAAGGCGGGGAAGGTTTGGTTATAAAGGAATCACGTTATACTCGAACTTTTCCATTCTCAAGGTTGGTAATAGTACTCATAAATGTCACGGAAGAATGCTACACTCTGTCAAAAATTTTGGAGTGGAATTCTGTGCCGGAGTGTTTATAGTGCTTTGAAACCCCAAGTGATATAGCCTGTGTCACACTATCAAAGCTACCCATCAAACTTTCAAGGTCAGGTGTTGTGATTGGCTTAGTCGAAGACTTGGTCCAATCGCAGCAAATGACCTTGACATTTTGATGGAGTATTTTGATCGTGTGACACAGGCTCATGAATGCAGAGCGGAATGAATGCTCCTCACGGAGTGGCTTAAGATACTAGGGAGCTCTATTCTACTCGAATTGCGGGGTGTCTAATGATTTAATGGTGCTTATTTCACTTCGCATTCATGTCATTTGGAGTTTGCGGGTGCCATATAAATTCCGGCACAGACGGGCAGTAAAAAGAGGAGTAAAAATGTCTCGTTTTATATCAGTGCAAGTGAATCAGTGAGAACGAAAACACAACAACTCGGTAACTCGAAAATACTCACTTTTCACTAAGGACAGACAATTTTCATAAAGGTGATTGAAGTTACCGTATCTGTTCCTACTTGGACACTTAAAGTGTCCTTAAGTACTTGCTTTTGGACACCAAAAATCTTTTTCTTAGACCAAGTTCTTCACCTAATATGCAGTTTTGTGAGTGTCTTGATCATTTTCATTTTTTCGAGTCGGTGTGTTTTCGTTCTCACTGATTCAAATGAGATTTTGAAATATATTTCTTTCTGGCTCTAAGATTTTAAATGGGGTCTAAAAATATCGGCTCAGTGAATCACTAACACTGTGTGTGTTTTCGTTCTCACTGATTCAATTATAATTTTGCTGTATTCTAAGGGTGTTGAAAATGAGCCATGCGCCTTGCAAATAATATAGTGATTTGATTCCTTGAGTATCCGACTATTCCATAATTTTCGGACCAAATTTGAAGTTCTCGAAGATTTTCGATGAAGTTCAAGTGAGAAATGATAAAGATGGACATACCTTTAAAATGACCAACGATAACAACACTATGGTTCAGGTCTCCCAATTCGAGACCGCCGCATCGAGGTACATCAAACACTCCGGAGACGTAGTGCTGAGAAAGAGAATAGAAGTTTTAACACAGCCACTATTGTAGTTGACTAGAAGGGTTTGAATATTTGCCACTGCGGCGACATTTCGAAAAAACAAATTGAAGCTCTTCAAATAAAAGCATACGAAGTATGAATGTCAAAGTTTGGTTTGACTCACTCCGCGCATTTCCGAGGAATACATCAAGCGACCTCTTTTGAAACAAAAACCACCTTTGTAGGTCATTATCGAAAACTTAATAAGCTGAAGGCGATTCGATGGACGCCATATTTTGTGTCAGAACGGCATGCGATATATCGCATCAATTGGTTCCATTTTTTCAGCTACTCGTCATTTTTCTCCAAGTTTGAGATCGCAATTCTTTTGTCAGGAGACTAAAGCATACTTACTTACCAATTTTAACAAAGAATTTCAACATACTAAAGGCGTGGTTTTTTCAGAGAGAAAACATCGCATTCGATACTGATATCAAAACTGCACTCGAATGAGATATTTTCTCTCTAAAAAAAAACCACGCCTTTATTACGTTGAATTTTTTTGTTAAAATTGGTAAGTGAGTGCTTTAGTCTCCTGAAAACAGAATTGCGATCTCGAAATTGGAGAAAAATGACGAGTAGCTGAAAAAATGGGATCAATTGATGCGATATATCGCATGCCGTTCTGACACAAAATATGGCGTCCACCTTAAATGAAATTCGCAATTGAACGAAAATACCTGATCCAACCCTACACGGAAAAAATTAAGTGGCTGCTTTAACAATTCAATTTCTTAAAAAAAGTGTCTGCAATGTTTCAATGTAGATTTTACAACCAAAAATGCTACTTAAACCACCCTCGTGGTTGAAGTAGCATTTTTTTGTTTTGAAATCTACGTTGAAATATTGCTGTCACTTTTTTCAGCAATTGAATTGTTAAATCATAGCAATTTAATTTGTCCGTGTAGTTTAACCGTAGATAGCGAAGATGCACCCTTATCAGGGTAAAAAATTACGGATCGTTAAGAAATGTCCCATATTCTTTTGAAAATAATCAGACTAAAGAAATATAGGAACTGTTTATAAACTTCCTAAATTTTCGTGCAAAATCCAGATAGAATGTAAAGTAAGCTTGCCTGTACTAAAGAATAGTCACCCAAAAATGATGAAACAAAATGCAGATTAGTAATCGGAAACACCGACCCCAATGTTACCCTCTCATTATTTTGAGTGAATCCGTTTTAATATGCACAAATTACTGATTAACTATCTGACTGCGATATTTTGCAAGGGAGTTCTTTTAAAATCGCAGATAGGCGATAAAAGCAATTGTCTCAGTTTTAAGGAAAGTCACTCAAATTTAGAAATGAAACACAACCAAAAACTGCGCACCACAGACTTGAGTAAGTGCGGGAAACTTAATATCACACAGTTTAAATGACATATCGACGGAGAAAGTCGGCAATCACATAACTCGGTTTGCGACGTCGCAGACTTCCTGTCATACTTTATTTTTTAAATGGAAAACTACTCAACGGCAATTCTTTAAAACTGTCATGATTTTTCTTCTCAATGCGAAGAAAATTCTGCAAAAACTTCAAGAAATAATATCAATTTGTTCTCCTTTAAAAAAATGACGTAGAGGCGGAGATTTTCAGACACCGCAAACGAGTTATGTGATTGCCGACTTTCACCGTCAATATTGAACTTATACCTTAAAATGAGATTGAGTCACCTTTCACTCTGCTTCCGAGTCACATTTGGACGTATTTCTATCAAACGGAACTATGTGCATTATGACGTGAGCCCTGTAATGCATGTATTCTTATGGGTCTCAGGGCTCATGTCTTAATGCACATAGTTCCGTTTGATAGAAATACGTCCATTTGACTTTGATTGTGCAAATTTATGATAAATGGGACTATGTGCATTGGGTTTGCGTGAATCATAGTATTTGTGAGCTCGTCGAATTGACTCTAAATAAATTAATTACATTTATTTTAAATCGGACTCTCGTTTCACTCGATCCTCGAGCCAACTGATCGAGTCATTTTCAACAGAGGAGTGGGTCATGATTCTACTGCACTTGAGGTTCAGTTACACGATCAAATTGAGCCATCAAACTGAAGCTCTGATTGGTGGAAAAAGACCTAAGGTGAGGATGCGACCAATGAGAGGCTCAATTTGATCGTGTAACTGGACCTTAAGGACAATCGCCTCATAAATACTCGAAAGTCGCCTAATTTCTCCCAATTGAATACCTATTTTATGGAAAGGTTGGGAATATTTTTTGTTAAAGGATCCAGGTACTGTAGATTAAATAGCTAATGAAATTCTCTAAAAAATGAAAAAAATACCCCCAACTTTCCTCTCAAATTCGTATTTTATCTAAGGCAATCTGGCAACGGTCAATGGCTCAGAATGGTCATGGCGGGAAAATAAACGGAGAATTTACAGCGCCATCGTGAAGAGCATAATTACGTACGGGAGTGAGGTCTGGCAATGGACCACTAGACAAGGTACGAATTTCAGCATTCTGATACATGTTTCTTCACCAAAATTTAACGTAGAACACGATGCGCACAACGAAAATTACCGAAATCAACTCCTTACGAAGATATTTAATGATTCTTGATGCGTGAATTCAAACCACCCGCTCATGAAAACTCAATGCTCTACGTGATTCACATCGTGCGCTAAACGTTATATCATAACAGTCTCTGCGAAATAAAAATCTGGCAACCTCAATCTTGACGCTTTGGCTCAGCTATAGCACATTGCTGATAGTTTGAACAATACATTGTGGGAAATGAACATTGCTCGATTGAGAAGCTTGCTGAAACCGTTGTAGTGCGCGATTTGACTAACGTAGAGCTTTGAGTTTCTTGTGAGCGGGCAGTTCAAATTCCTCGTAACCAATGTGAAATAAAAACGTTAATATCTTCGTCAGGAGTTGGTTTCAGTAATTTTCGTCGTGTGAATCGTGTTCTACATGAAATTCTGGTTAAGAAACATGTATCAGATGGCTTAAATTCGTACCTTGTCTAGTGGTCCATTGAAGAATAGATCTGAGGATATCTTACGGGCAACCGAAATGGACTTTTGGCGAGGGTCCGCAGGGATCTCGCGGAGAGGGCGCGTTCGTAATGAACGAGTGCGTGAGATAGTAGCTACGTTTATGCGAGACTCGAAACCGGGGTTTCACGAAACCCGAGTTTGTAATGCAAGTTTCCTCCGTCGGGTTTATGCGGGCGCTGTAACCCGACTTTCGCGGGAAATCAAACTTTCCGATTTTGACGCTGTTTATGCGCATATTTTCGATTGAACTTGAATTTCATGTTGGCGCCATTTTCACAAGCTATACTTCATTTTTCCACTATGAATTGATTCAATAAATTATTAGGTATTACTCTTTTATCCTGTGTATGTTCAATTTTTCCACAATATATAAGCGGAGGCTTCATCTTCACTAGAAAAGCCTTTACTGACTTTCTGAGCAACAGTTGGAAAAATGACAGTAGATGTTTAATCATTTTACGTTCATCTTTAAAATTGAATGAATACCTAATCTCAACAACCCTCCAAATCATGCTCGAGCTTACATTCTGAGTTCAGAAAAGTTGCCATAGGTAATTTTAGTGATGTTAAAAATAATTGTGGCAGGCGCAGAAATTCATCATATTGTTTATTGAGCTTCTAATGATCTTACAATAGGTAGATATAGGCATTGAAAGTGTAGGAGTGCTAATCCGCAAGCAAAGCACCGCACCTTCACTCCATGCTGTTGTAAAGATTGTATGTCTGCCATTATTGTAGTGAAACAAATAAAGAATCGGGATATACTTATGGGAATTCCTCCTTCAAGATATGATCAAAATAAGCAGATATTGATAGGTCAACAATGTATCGCTGAAGCAGAAGCGTCTAAATCCTCTTGAGGCAATGGACGGTGACAATCTCAACAAACTGGTGACGCTTCACAAATTTTGAATTTCCACATTCCCAGAGACACGCGCTGAAATCCTGTTTCTCACCCCTCTTTCCGACTGCTCTCCGAGTCCATGAGCAAGACGGGAAGAAAATAGGCAAGCGACCTACCACTGTTCGCCTACCTATGTGTGTTTTTCTTAAACTTGATTTTCAAAGGTGACTCATGTAAAGAGCAACTGAAAAACAAGATTTCAGAACCTGCCATTGCATTTCACTAACCTAAGACACCAACCCAACCTTACCATTGATATTCTTTCGCTTACACTGTATATTATTCTCCCACTGAGATTCGATATGAACTCAATTCAAAAATCCTTCTGAATTTAATAATACAGGTAGATTGGAATCTGGAGCTCTCAGTCTATCTGTAAAGTGCATTTACTAACATTCACTGCTGTCACAAGATATTTTTGCACAGGCAGAGCCACTTTCCACAGTTGATGCATCTCTAACGCCAAAGCTCAATTATGACAAGTGGTTCAACGACCAAAAATTGTTACACGCCTCAATAAAAACCTTATTCTTATCTCAAATTGAAAATCTTGGATCACAGAGCACTCACCGAAGAATCTCCTTCCTTCTGCATCAGTATGAGAAGAGTGACGATACTTTGGAGCAATAACTTTGAACTAGTTTCAATAAATGATGGCTTCAGAATTTGAGTCATCATTTACTAGAGATTGGATCAAAGAAATAAGTCAGCAGGTCACGGTTGTGGCTGGAGTCACACTTCCAGTAGGACAATCAGGAAATACGTACACGGATAACACACAAATTCAAGAGCTATGCAGCTCTGATTGGATCAGATTTTAGATTTAATCGGTAGATTGAAATGAAAAAATTCGGTGCACTACTTAAAGGGAAGCAGGGTGCCTTATCTTGAAATCCTAGGCAAATCGTGCGGATGCAGTAAAAAAGTTCTCTGCAGATGATGAACTGGTGGGTAAGGCTATTACTCAATTGTAGCCTGTAAAGCTCTTTGCTTGCTTTGCTTCTGTAGTCATAAAATGTTGATTAGAGTTGCAAGAATAATCTGAAAAAGCAGTAATAAGCCTGGATTCCATCTGACACGAAACACCTTCACTAGAAAATAACGTCCTACGTTTAGCTAAATAAGGATAAGTAAGCCACATATAACTGAAGGAATCACGTAAAAGTGCTTAAGCAACAATTATAGTAAAATTATGATTGTAAAAAATGTTGAATAACGGCAAAATTAAAGCTAAATCGTGGGATAAGCACCAGTTGTTTACGAACGGTATGATAATAAATCCGCCATATTGCCGATCGCGCACCTGAAAATCGCATTTGAAGTCGAATTTCAACTAATTTCAACCTCCGGTTCGTTTATGCGGAGTGCGAAAACCTAGTCTTTAGTGTAAAATAAGGTTTCAAACACAAATTTCGGAAACCTACATTTCGTTAGTTCCGTATCGTTTATGCCGTGATTTGAACCTTGGTTTCAAACTCAGGTTTCGATTGAAGTTAGGTTAAGAGGCTCGCATAAACATAGCTAATGGGAGTTGAGAAAGACATTGTGCACGATATCAAAACCAGGCGGCTGGTTTGGTATGGACATGTGCGGAGAATGGCAGATAGTAGGTTTCCCAGAAAGGTATTTGATTGGGTTCCTCCCGGAAGAAGGCGGCGTGGACGTCCAGTAAAAGGTTGGCGGGAGGGAGTGGAGGGGGAGATCAGACGGTGTAATCTGCCCGATGATTTGTGGGAGGATCGATTCCGATGGCGATTTGGAGTCGCAGAGCGCTCTAGTGCGCTGAGTTAGCGGCTTGATATGTATGTAATGGCTCATACGACGTTCTACCTCAGCACGTGAGTATTTTCAAAAGTGTAGATAATATCACTTGAGAATGGACCGCTAGAAAAGGTACGAATTTAAGGATTCTGATTCATGTTTCATAATCAGAATTTCAGGCAAAACACGATTCTTGCACCGAAAATTGCCGAAATCATTTCATATCTATGATATTAACGTTTTTATGTTACCTTGGTTACGGGAAATTTAAATTACCCAATCACACGAAACTCAATACTCTACGTGAGTCCAATCGCGTACTACAATGGTTTTGGCAGGCTTCACTATCCAGCACTGTTCATTTCCCACCCTGTGTTTTTGAAACTAAAAACAACTTGCTACAGCTGAGCCAAAGCGTCAAGATTGAGGTTGCCAGGTTCTCATATCGCAGAGAGTGTCACGGTAATTTTCAGAGTTCGATTTGACTCACGTAGACCGTTGAACTTTTCATGAGCGGGAGGTTTGAATTCACGCGTTAAGAAACATTAAATATGTTGGTCCGGAGTTAATTTCAGTAGAATTTGTTGCGCGAATCGTGTCCTGTACGTAAAATTCTGTTTCAGAATGCTTGTGTCACACTATTAAAGCTAGCCATAATATATATATAAATTAATAATATAATACAAGCTTTATAGTTTATTAATAATGTTAGTGAAAAATGATATAACTGGAACAATTTGTAATAAATTATGCACTTCTTGGAGACACAAATTAAAAGAAGAAAAAAATCAAGGTCAGGGGTTGATATTGGTTTATTCGATGGCTAGGACCAATCACAGGACTTGACCTTGACATGTTGATGGAGTATTTTGATAGCGTGACACAGGCCTATGGGATGTAATGGTACATACGATGTTTCTAATTTCCAATTCAGATGCCTACCAACTAGAGATAACCTCATACTACGGATAAACTCTTACTTGGAACTCTACAGGAGCGATCATGTTCGTTGCGATTGGACTGATTTGCAACCACCTTACGTGAGATTCTATATCATCTGTGAGCCTCACGAAGTCTGTAATCTTTGCGTAAGGTGGAACGTCTGACCTACACGACTCTTTCTTTGCCCTGTATGGGTAAGCATTGGAAGTTGGCAGTCCGGATTTTTTAATGTAGTCCAGAGCGTTTGCAATTTTTCCGCCTTTACAGCCATCGCCAGGGCAGCAGTCAAGCAACGCTGCCAAAATTACCAAACTTGTGAGAATAAAAACAATGAGCTTGTTGCAAACTTTGCTGGGGCAAAAAAAAGAGTTTTTCCTTTTAGAAAATGGCTCAAAAATGACGATGAGCGCATTGACTGAGTCTGAAATACACTCCTAGCTTCACAATCTGCGTAAGAAATTTGCATTTCTTTGAGTTTCCTACTTCAAAAACGATACTTTAAATTTTGGATAAGCTACAATTCAAGATTTCCTTTATACAGGGTGATTCATGGTTAAACAGCCAGACTGCAGGAGCCAAAACATCCCCAAACCCCCTCTTTAAATTAAGATTTCGATTTTTATTTAGATCATTTATGAATTCAGGGCATAAAATTACAGGAAAGTACACATCTCATGAAATTTGGTTCACAACCGTTGCCAAAATTCAGGAGAGACTATTTGATTTCCAATTTTATTTTTTAGGGAGGGCGTAGCTGCAACTGGGGACAATTTTGGAAAAACTTAACTTTATACAACAAAAAAGTCTTATTTTGACCCAGAACAAGCTCCCGCAGTCTGGCTGTTTAACCCTTTTTTTTTTTCTTCTTTTCTTCTCTAGTTGAGGGGGCCTTAGCCTAGCAGGGCATTCTACTGCCCCCTCTAACCGGCAATCTTTTATTCATTTGGCATCTTTTTATTTTCTTATTTTCTTACTTTTACTGATACATTCTTTTATTTTCTTGCTTTTTACTTTCTATTTAGCTCCTCCTCAATCTCAGTGTGCCTTCTACTTTGTTTCTCTCCTATTGATCTCGTTCTGCCTTTCATCATTTTTCTTTCTCTGTCTATGTTTTTTCTCTATCGGTTTGTTTTGTTTTACATTGCTCGCGGCTATTACTTTGGCTTGCGCCGCCTGGCTGTTTAACCCTGGATTACCGTATATATTTTTAATGTACAGCCTGTTTTGGCACTGCCAGGGTTTTAATACTTTTCCTCATTTCGGAAGGGATTTGTATTGCCTTACCTTGTTTGGAGAGCGGGGTTATTTCGCCTGCAACCCTAGCGAAAAATATCTCAACAGCAGCGGCAGCCGCAAACGCCCAACATGAGCCGCACAAACATCCTGGTAGTGACTGTAAGCAAATTTGAGAAAATGGTAAACGATAACTTCGCAGATCTCGAATTTCGTTTATTTTTGAAACACCTCAATTGAGGTCTTGCATTTGCCTAGTATTGGCGCTGCAATGTAGATACCTGGTTTTATCCTTTGGCCATGTGGCTAACTGCAACATAATTTGTTGCACTTTGCCACGTTTGCCACACTAATTTTTCTTGTTTCGTTTAGCCACATAGCACCTAAAATCTGTGGCAAGATGCAACATTTTTTGTTGCATTTTGCCACGTGGCTAAATGAGCTGTGGCTAAATGAAACGTAATCAAGTTTTGTCTTAAATTTACAGTTTTTAGCTAGTAAAATAGAAAATATTAATGGATAATCGGCTTTTTCCTCCAAGACAAAAGAAGTTGCACAATCTTAGCAACATTGCAATGCTAGTGGTTCCTTTTTGCAAAATGCTTTCCAAATACATTAATAGAGTTGCCTTGGCTCCAGCTTCCTCGAACAAATTGGCAACCTTGGTGTTGTATTTGGCTCTATCTATGCATGATGAAGTGTTTGTGCGGGATATAAGCACGGAGGAAACATTGTATTGGAAGCTGCACCAATCGAAGAGAAGAAGATAAACTGCCCCTTTTTCTTGTCCTCTCTCTTTAGACTCACAGCCTCTGCGTACTGGACACAACTATTTTGCTCCCGGGGATGTGCGTGAAGTATCTCGACTTTTAAAGGCGTTTTTAATGTCTACACCGTTCGCGGTTCGAAAGTCACATGTACCTCTCGCTACTTTAAGTTCAATTTTTCATATGATACACATATTTTACCTTCGCAGATGTGCTTACAGTATCTCGACTTTTGAAGGCATTTTTGTGGTATGATGTCTCATCGTTCGCGGTTCGGAAGCCACGTATCGCTCTTGTTACTTAAAGATATTTCAATGCCTCGGGTGATACAAATATTTTAACCCCGCAGATGTGAGTCAAGTTTCAAGACTTTCGAAGGCATTCTTTGTGATTTGATGTTTTCATTATTCGTGGTTGGAGAGTGGCATGCAGTCCTTTTTACTGTAAGATTTTTCAATAGAGATGTTGCATGTGTGAGGAATTTGTGATTTGACTGTTGATTCCTATGTTAAAGTTCGCGAGAAACACGATGGTGCCACTGGTTTTCTCTCAAATCTACTCCCAAGCTCAAAAAAGCTCTCAAGTTGAGGCCAAAATGACCGGGGATATCCCACGCTATCCTGAGAGTCCACCTCTACATCAAGACAAACTCTCCATGCAAAGATAGGGAGCGAATACATTAGCAGGGTTGCTGTGTTTTCATTTCTGGAGTCCCCGAATAAAGTGGCAGCCCTGCTAATGTATTTGCTCCGTATCTTTGCATGGAGAGTTTGTTTCGATGTAGAGGTGGACTCTCAGGATAGCGTGGGATATCCCCTCCATTTTGGCCTCAACTTGAGAGCTTTTTTTGAGCTTAGGAGTTGATTTGAGAGAAAACCAGTGGGACCATCGTGTTTCTCGCGAACTTTTACATTAAAATCAACAGTCAAATCGCCAATTCCTTGCACATGCAACATCTCCACTCTTCATTGATGGCAACTTACCTGAGATTCAACCTCCGGGTAGAACTCAGCAGGAAGGCGCCAATCCAGTAGTGGTGATCCCTCGGGATATTTCCCGACAAAGAACGGGGACAAGTACTTGCAGTTCTTCGGGACGGAATTGCTGCGGGGGGGTGGAGGGACGTAGCCAGGGGGCTCGAAGCCGGGTGGGTATCCGAAGGGGGGTGGTTTTGGGCCGTTGGAGCCATTGGGCGTGGGGGCTGGTGGTTGGGAGTAAGCACGCCTGAAGCCAAAGGAATTATTCTTCGATCTGAGGCTCAGCATACGCGTTTCCAAGTTGGTGGATTCTCCAGAACTCTCTTCCACTTCGTCGAAATGCAGCCCTGCCTGGAATTCCTCACCTAGGTACAATGGATGGTATACGATAAATCGAACAGGTGAGATGGTATCGATGTGGATTGGTTCAACACGTAAACATAGCAACAAAAGTCAAGTTAGTAATCTGAGGGAGCATGTAGAATGTATAGCATGGTAGAATTCGAATGAATAGTGTCCTTCACGAAAAAAAATGTATTGCTGATTTAACAATTGGACGTATTTCTATCAAACGGAACTAAGCGCCAATTTGACGTCCTTTTGAGGAATTTAGAATGCCGGATAGCGCGTTCTGTCGAACGGAACTAAGCGCCGTGGAAAAGCATTGCGAGTATTGGACAGAATGAGCCCGACGCCTGGTTCCGCCGCCAATCAAAGCCCCCCTCTACCTTCCTCCCCCTATGCTGCCGTGCAACGCAAAAACGCCGTAAACGCCATTTTACATTTTTTGGAAACAATGAATCATAGCAGAAAAACTTTTGTACTTTTGGCCAATGTTTTTACAGAATTCTTTCGCAAATACAATCAAACACTTAACCTGAAAATTTGAAGTGCATGGGTGCCTAAAACAATTTTTATTTTAAGAAGTGTTAAGTTCCAAAAATGAGAGAAAATCTTGATGGATTTACGGCGTTCTTGTTTGGCACGGTAGTATGGCGTTTAGTTCCGTTTGACAGAAATACGTCCAATTAAATTGGAAAACAATGTGTCCGACACTAAAGTACATTTTGCATGAAACCTTATTTTACCGCGGGGGTGGTTTTATTACCATTTATTTAATTATTTATTTATTGTGCACTGGAAAAAAAACACATTGGATCTAGAGTCCAGACTCTTGAAAACATCGACAAGAAAAAATACTCTTGATTCAATCGGATTTTCACTTGAATCAAAACGAAATCCGCTTAAATTAAGAGGCTTGGTTCTTGATTTAAGCTAGATTTTGATTGAATCCAGAGTACTTTTTCTTGTCGATGTTTTTAAGAGTCTGGACTCTAGATCCAATGTGTTTGTTTGCCAGTGTGAAAACGTACATAGAAACATGTCGGACACTCACAAAAGTGTTGCTGCTGGATTGATCGCCCATTCACCGTTCTAGCCATTGACGGCCGCTCACCGCTCACCAAAACGAAATAAAATGTACTTAACGTTGCAAATTGGCTCAATGACTCTTTTTAGCTCCTAGGCACACCTCCTAGCGGTGAAACTCGGAAATTTTCAACCGTCACCAAATTACAGCAAAATTCCGGTTCTTTTAAGTCCCTCCTCGAATGTTTTGCATCGCAAATAGTTTTCCTGCAGTCTTTCGTCTGTGTACAGAGTTCAAATTTCACCTACTTGTTCGATCTGTATATGGGCCCATTCCGTAGACGAGATCTCCTGTTGCCGTAGCCATGAGCTTCTCGATCACAACCAAGTTTTTCTCGAAGATCTTAAATCTCTTGTATTCTTCTTCCTTTGAGCTGTACACTTTCTTATAAGATTGCTTGAATATCTCGAATTGTTCTCGTGAGCTCTTACGGCCAAACCTCGCCTGTCACACAAAAGGAAAACAACATCGTAACAAGGTTGTCAGCAGCCGAAATTACACTTTCAAGGTTGAGCAAAAATTCGCATCGAACCAAAAATGTACAAGTTTCAGTGAAATTCTGCCAATATCACATATTTACGGTGCATTCACTTGTGTTTCAGTCGAATTTTAACTTTAACAAGTATTGGGAAAAAAGGTAAAATTATAAAAATTGATCCGTTTGTGGTTTGATGTTCTTCTCTTTCGTTCCTTGGTTAGAGTCTAGATCCGATTTTTGGTGGGTCATTTGAACGTATTTCTATCAAACGGAACTATATGCATTAAGACATGAGCCCTGAGACTCGTATGAATATGTGCATAACAGGGCTCACGTCATAAAGCAGATAGTTCCGTTTGATAGAAATAGGTCCATTTGAGGGACTCGGAGGAAAAGGCGCGTAAGAGCAGTATTTGAAAAAATTGAGGTATTAATGATTTCAGGTAAAACTAGTCTCAACGCATATTCTGTGAAATATTCGCTTCCAAGTATTCCAATAATCAAGCATCAAAAAGTCAGTTTGAACTTTCCATCCGCCATAAGGATCCATGTAATTTCGAAACTTCAAACACGTATTTCTCGCAATAGCAAAAACTGCACTTCTGCGACTTTTTCTCCAAGCCCCTCATTAAGGCTGTCCGTAGTTCAGTGTTACTTTCATCCCTGAATGACAGCCTGTGTGTGCGTACCGATGCTGTCATAGCTGTGCTGTGCATAGCTGTCATCTGTTTTTAAAATGTTTTTTGTATTATTCCCTTTTATTTGCCTCGACACTATTTTCGCGCATCAGAACTTAATCTCTTTGAAAAATTGTGTTAAATTTCCGCCTCAGACACTTCAAGTGGGCCTCTGTACAATGTATGAATTAAAGCACTAATTACAACATGTTTTCTCCCAGCATGTTTCCTTTTCAAAATGTTACAAGGAAAACGAATCGCACATAGTGGGAAGTATGGAAATCAAGTTCTAATAATTGGACTATTTATGCTAAATGGAACTATGTGCAAGTGGGAAGATGGGGTGTGCTCGTTTGTGCGCGGGCCATGTGAATTAATGGGACTTTAAAAGTGCCAGTGACGTCAGCGGTGAGGACCAGGCGCGATGAGGCGATGATTCATCAGTCTTTAACTCATGATCCCTGTTCACAACGCTCTTGTCCAATGCCCACGGCTCACGAGTTAGCGCTCAGTTCCTTTTGATTTACTGCCAAATCCCGCTTTTCCATTTTCTCAGAGGGAACCATATCCACCTTTACATTGTTTCTGACGCACCTTGCCCGAGTACACCCCATTTTTCCACTTGCACATAGTTTCATTTAGCATAAATACATCCAATTTATATGAGTGTTCACAATGGACCCCTAGACAAGGTACGAATTTCAGCATTCTAATACTTGTTTCTTCACCAAAATTTCACGTAAAATACGCTGTGCACTACGAAATTTACCGAAATCAACTCCCTCCGAAAATATTTAATGATTCTTGGTGCTTGAATTGAAACCACCCGCTCATGAAAACTCAATGCTCTACGTGATTCACATCGCGCGCTAAGCGTTATCATGAACGTCTCTGCGATAACTAAATCTGGCAACCTCAATCTTGACGCTTTGGCTCAGCTATAGCTAATTACTTACAGTTTGAACAACACATGGCGGGAAATGAACATTGCTCGATTGAGAAGCTTGCTGAAACCGTTGTAGTGCGCGATTTGACTCACGTAGAGCTTTAAGTTCCTTGTGAGCGGGCAGTTCAAATTCCTCGTAACCAACGTGTGATAAAAACGTTAATATCTTCGTTAGGAGTTGGTTTCAGTAATTTTCTTTGCGCAAATCGTGTTTTACGTGAAATTCTGGTTAAAACATGTATCGGAATGCTTCAATTCCTACCTTGTCTAGTGGTCCATTAACATTGGCAGAATAGCAAAAATACGAATGAGGTCACCATAACCTAAATTTTATTTGTTCTGTATTCAAAATACGTGTCTGTATCTCGTTCAGGATCTGATTCCCGAACTACTCATCGTTTGAATCGTTTTTTTCGCAAGATTTTGAAGAGTTACCATGGGAATTTTTTTTCCCTAGTTCAGAACTTGTATGTTCCTCCAAAAATGGAAATTCATATTGTGAAAAGTTACGAATAGGTACTGGTAGATTTGAAACGTTGCTCGACATGAAATCACGACAGAAAATTCTCAGAAAAATTCCCGTATATTTCCTAAAAAATTCTCATTTTATTCGAGGAATTTTTGGCAAATGCTGGAATTTTCATACGGCGTTTTAACTTCGCACGGTGGCATTGCGATAAAGGATACAAATAATAGTATGCACACAACGGGAAATATCAATAATCGATCATTTTTTTCCGGTCAGAAGCCTCCAAGCCCATTCTCTCAAAACTTCATTTTTGCCTTTACTGCTCTCTTCATGATAACGGCAGTACTATTTATGTATTTTAAATAATTTGGCCGTCCCTTTTTGCAAGGCCGCAAGTGCACGCCTACCTTAATTATCCTCTCGGCAAGCTTTTTCTTTTGTCGGAGTGGATACCAAAAATATCTCTGAACGCAGGTCTGGCTCTCATATGAGTGGAGTTTCTTTGTGTTAAATCCACAAGCGCAATCGGTCCCCACGAAGGCTTTGGCCCACGGTACGTTCAACTGGGGGACCCTGCCCCATATCGAGTCGCATTGGACCTGACAGCTCCGCACGTCCCAAGGTATCGCTTCGGGCAATGCGTTTGAATCGACTAAAAGAAGAGGCAAGAAAAAAAAAACCACTGAAAATCTGCCCCGAACTGTGTAAGTAACGAGGCGGTAGAGTATTGCTGGGTCCACACCAGAGGCGTGGCGTGCTTTGCGATATATCGATTGTTATACCATTCAAACCTATGGAAAAGGATCGATAAACAGGGTGTTCGCGGCGAACACCTTAATAATCGATTCTTTAGCATAAGTTTAAATGACAGAACAATCGATAAATCGCAGTTCACGCCACGCCATTGGTCCACACTATTATGCTGCCGTGCCGGGGAAGAACGTCGTAGGAACATTCGAGAGTTGCCAAATTTCCCTTGTTAAAACATGCATTTCTGATCACATTCATGCATATTTTTCCTTGAAATTTTCAGATATTTTCGATTAAATTGCGCACAAAATTGTCTGAAAATTTTGTAAAATAATATTCGCAATTTTCCCAGTAAATTCGGGTTTTAAGGGAGGAAACTTGGCAACGTCTCAAAGCTCATACGCGGCGTTCTTGCTTAGCACGGCAGTATGCGGTGAGATCAATGCCAATAAAATGCGAAACATTTCAATTAGAGTCAAAAATTGGAGGTCTAATGAGTAAAACAAGAGTAAATAGAATGCCCTTTCGATGCTTCCATAAATTTAAGTCTGTTAATACCTATTTAAGTAACCGGGGAAAAATAGTCAGATTTTATGTAATTTTATATTAATGATTTTAAATTACAGTAATCCATTGCGGAAAACTGGCAGTTGCAAGTCGAAAGAACGCTCACTTCGCGACTTTAACTGATCGCGCCTAGTGCAGTGCGGTCGGCGCGAAATGCATAATTAGCGCCTACAAGATTGCGTGAATACTTCACGCATCGCGCGTTCACCACGGTACACCATTTCCGACCAGTTCTTACGGCGAGCTTGCAATCCTAGAATCTAGGAGAATCCTCCTGAAAGAGAACTCCCTTGCGAGTTTAGCTAATCGCGCCAAAACATTGCGGTCGGCGCTCAACGCATATTAGCGCCTACAAGATAGCATGAATACTTTACGCATTGCGCTTTTACTATGCAATCCTAGAATCTGGGAGAATCCTCCTGAAAGAGAACTCTCTCGCAAGTTTAGCTAATCGCGCCAAAACATTGCGGTCGGCACTCAACGCATATTAGCGCCTACGAGACAGCATGAATACTTCACGCATTGCGCTTTCAACACGGTATTGTCGATCCGCGCACACCGCGAGCCTGCAATTATGGGATCGCGAGATCCTGGGAGAGTTACCTATTTAGTTTTCCTCAAGAAAATAACGGGGAAGTGGGGGAAAACTTCGGTTCTCCACCAGAGAACAAGCTCCTTCAAATCAGGGAAAATGGAGAATTCGTAAGTGTCTATAATATTTGATGAATTTCGCGTTTTAGTGGAAACCGCCGGGTGAACTGAACACAAGGATACCCTTGGTGCATAAATTGAACAGTTGTGGGAGGAGATGTGACAAAATTATCCGCACTGAAAAAAAAATCTCTATTTACTAAGAAAAGGGTAAAATTACCAAGAATTCAGGGTTCTATTTGATCCCAGTTTTTTCTAGGTAAAATTACCGTTTATGGAATTGGTAATTTTACAGAGAAATCTCGGTAAAATTATTGACTTTCTCGGTAATTTTACTGGACCCCGGTAAAAACGCCAATATTTTTTATCGACTGTGGTAGAATTACCAAGATAAGTTGGCAAAGTTACCGAGAATTGATTACCAATAAAAGTGGTATTCTTACCTGAAAAAACAGTAAAGATACCGGTTTTTAGGCAAGCTTACCAGTCTGTCTTTTTAAAATTACCAATAATTGGTAAAAAAAGTGAGATGGTAAAGGTACCAACGGACCTTGGTAAAAAAGCCGAGGATTTTTTTTCAGTGTAAGAAGACATGTGTTTAAATGGGAATAGTGCTACCAGATGACGTCATTAGGCGGTGGATTTTTTCACTTTTAAATCTATTTTGGTACTATTTCCCATACCAGAGCAAAATTGAAAAGAATACTGCGACATCAGCTCTTGAAGCACTCTCTGCTGAAGCATTAAAACATTTTCGTGTAAATTTTCCATTAGGGAAAACTCGTGAGTGAGCCTGGTGAAGATTCCCAGACACCATGAATTAGAGTCCAAAAAAAACAAAAAAAGGAATTAGACCGGGCTTGGGGGGGGGGGGGTGGTGGTGTCAGTGTTCTACTTAACCTAGAGTCCCTTTATACTGAGAGTCAAGCCAACACCCCCTCACGGAGTCACAAACGGGCGAATGAAGATTACAGAAATTGAACGTTTTTTGTAATCTTTGATCGGACCATTCTCAAATTCCTTCCTCCGTCCCTTCTCTCATTCCGTTTGTTCTTGCCGAACCCGTAATTCCCTGGTCCAATCCAGACTATAATCCTTGCAATCGGTGAAAATGTAATCTTTATTCCCGTTTGTGACACTGTGAAGGCCTAAAATAGGGGAACCAATCAGAAATGGATTCACATTGTCTTGACTCTCAGTATAAAGGGACTCTAACTCAAGCAAATGCGTACAAGTCACGAATGTGGTCTCTTTACGAGGTCTAAAAATACTCAGGACGTTATAGATCTCTCGGCGAGACTCCGGCTTGGTATTGCAATGCCATAGCTGCAGAGTCTCGTTCCTTATTCGTGCACAGTCTCGTCTCTTATTATTTGTGCACTGATACTCATTAGAGCTCAACTTATTTACTCTATATGAAATCGTCGAAATTTCGTAGCGTTGACTTCTTGCAAGAAAACGGTGTACCTACCAGCACTATTCTACTACCTTGTTACTAAAAGAAAGTGACACAAGACTCAGTTTCGTAAACCTGTGGTCCAATGACACACCGGAATATAAAATGGTTTCAAAAACGTTCCATTTTAATGTTCAAGAAACAAATTTCAGGACTTAATTGAACAATGTTGTGGAGCATTCTTTTTTTAAAAACAAAAAAAAAAACTTCAGCATTTTTAGCTTGCTTAACCTTTTTAAGTGTTAAAAACATAATGATATTTACATTATTAACTATTTGTATTATCTTGAAAGTCTTTTTTGTCAATAGTAAAGTGCTCAATAATGTGAGTCCGATTTCTACGTAAATGGCAAATATGGGACAAAATGGCCGTAATTTTTTTGAGCGAGAGAAACACCGGAGTGAAAATTATATGCGTCACGTAAACTTCAGACAGAACCATCGCGACCCCCCGCATTAATTTTCAAACTAGAGGTTATAGACGCTCTAAATACGCACAGTTTTTAACGATTTGAGGGGAAGATTATCTATTTCATCTAGCTTTTGCAGAATCGCTCTCGACATTAATTTCCACTCACAGATTTTATTTTCACTAAAAAACTGGTAGGAGTTTATACTTGATAATAAACTGATTTTCCCTCAAATCATCGACTAATTTCACCAACATTTTGGACCTATCTTTTCGAGGTCTGGTGAAAGAACTGACTTGTTTAAGTTAAAATTGCAACCTTGGAATAGAGTTGCGTTCTTTTGTGCGGGCAACGACAATTTGCGAAGAACCTATTCTAATTTACATCTGCCATTGTTTTTTGTTTCTATTTTAGCGTTCCCTTCTTCAGTTAAATGTGACCACTGTTGACTACAAAAAAGTTTTATTTTCGAAATCTAAGGGGTAATCATGTTCATTTTCGACCTGCATATTTTTTGTCAATTTTCCATTTGTTTTAATTGACTTTTGTGGTTTGTATTCAGATGCAGAAGAATTTTCCGGGTATTTTTCTGGCATTTTTAGTATTTTCCCCCTTTTTATAAGCCTTGATTTAATGTGAAAAAAAAAATAAAAATAAAAAAAATAATCTCATTTGTTTTAATTGTATTATTCCTTACCTCCATAGTTAAAGGACGCCTCAGTAACCATCCTAATGATGTAAAAGTAGAAATAAGGTTTCATCGCTCAGAATAATGATGCCGACCTCGAACACTTTCACAAACGGAGACAAGTGAAAGCAATTTTTTGCAGTTTTCACATTATCCGTGGAATCACTTGACGTGAGAGAGTTACACCTCTGTCTGATGACAAAAATACTATTCACAATGCGGTGGTAGAGCTAAGACCCCGTCATCTCCAAGTGATCACTGGAAAATTCAGAGTGCTTCGCGGAAATAAGAGGGTGTAATTACAAGTCACGAGGTATGACGCTCGACTCTTTACAAATTGTCCGATCGTTCGTGAAAACACGCCATTTTCCCAACTATAAACGTGAGTAATATATAAAGTCTAGTGCAACATTTTAAAACGGGCTCGAAAATATGAAAGATGAGGACTGAGTGTGAACTGGTACTTCGAAACCTTGTCGCTTAAATAATTGGTATCCTAACCTTCCATTCCTCCCCCTCTCCCCTCGCCCTCAAGAAAAAATGTGAAAACTTCGATCTAAAATTCAACTGCCGGAGAAACGTATGTTAATTGCAATGTGTTAGATGATTTAAAGCGAAAGGCTAAGTTGAGAGGCCAATCTAAATATTGGCATGAGCGGGAGCGAAATGGAGTTTTTCAAGGGGGCTTTTTTGTACTTCAAGTGCTACCAGACAAATTTCAGGACCTGGTCTCCATTTAGAGCGAGATATGATATTTTTTTCGAGGAAGATGCCATTACCGTAACAGACACTAATCATTATGAACGTGTTTTTTAGAAAGCTATTTGGTAACCTACAGCATGATTCAATTTTTTCATTTTTTCATTTTACAGCCTCGAAAAATATAATGAAAAGTCCAAATAGAATCCGAAAAAACGGTATGGAACTGAAAATGAGTTGATGTGCACGCATAACTAAGTGATTGAAATTTTTTCACCTGTATTTTCCAATTTTAGCCAGCTTTTATGAACGTGAATGAAGAACGTTTAAATGTTACTGGCACGCATTTCCTTAGGTTTCAACTTACATAGTGCGGCCAGCCTCATTTTCTGTAGTTTTCAATAGTTTTGTCAATTCTTTATTTTCATAAGATTTGTATTTTTATTTTTTGTATAAATGTGGCTGCTAAGGGCAACCTGGTATGAAGTGAGTTGAAACTTAGCAATTCTTATTTAAATTTAACTTGTTTCAGGCTTAATCTACCCAATATGAAAAAAAAAAAAAAAAACATAAAGTCTGTTTCATTGCGGACATTAAGTGTTACGTTACGACAACGTTAAGACAAAGTGTGTTTGTTTACGATCGAAGTATGGAAACATCAAACTGCGGTATATAATTGTAATGTCTAAACACTAAATCAATATCTATAGTGAGTTATAAATGTGTTTAAACCTAGTAGTTGAGCACTTATTGAAACAAGCAAGAATTGGACCTAATTTTGCATCAAAGACCTAAAATTTCGCTCGCAGAGATACGTCCGATTTTCCCGCTCCATACCATCATTGCTTGCACCTCCTCTGCTCTGAGTACCCCGAAATTCCTTTAGAAGAGAATGAAAATTCTGCATGTTCGTACAGTATGTGAAGGTGTTAAGGAGATAAAGTGATAAAAATTCACTTTTAACTTTTTAAGTTACTTTTCAACGTGATGGCATTGAAAACCAAGCATTTTTGAATTCTTAGAACAAGTTGGGAATTCCTGGGACACAAATTTAAAAAGCGAGAGCTTAAATTGAAGCTGAGAGTGTACTGAGCCCAACGGTATTGCTGTTTTTTAGGTTTAATGGATCGCGAGAAAATCCGAAAATGACCTCACTTTTTGGATGACGGTGTTTGATGCTAAATTTTACTCACATGCACTTAAAATTTTTTCACATTAGGCTTTCGATTTTGAACACATTAGGCTCTACCGTTAGGCGTCGGCGAACTGGGTTGATTGGTTAGTAATCTCGACCTTTCTTGGCTTCGTTAAACGAGTGTTGCCGCGTTGTCATATATCTAAAAATTGTATTTTTTTTCTCGCGAAAGCTTTGCTAAATAAGTAAGTTTTGTGTACATACAAGTTTTCCCTTTCATGCTTTCCTCCATCCGATAATGTTGTGCCACTGCTGACTACCCCACCAAAAACATTTTAAGGGGAGTTACGTGTCAAAAATTTTCAAAACTGTCAATTTTATTTTAACGTTCTTTAGCTCAGTTATACTCTCAGGTCTCATTAGACATTAAGTATTCTTTATTTTAAAAATTATACCGCTGTCGGCTGATGTTTTAGTGAGCGTAGTCAAAAACACAATTCCTCTTTTTGCAACTTTCTGTACTGGTTTTGAATTTTTTTAATTTTTCTGCTGCAAAGTCTACTTTTTTATCACTCATGTACCTTTTTTCCTGGGTGTAATCAAGATATTTGCAATTTTTTTTCGAGAATTTCCATTACACAAACAAATGAAAGCATTTTTTACAGTTTGTGCAATTGAAACTTCTAGAGATTGCCAAAGTAAAAAAAAAACACATATTTTTTTTTAAAAATAATAGAAAAACGGTCAAAATTTGAAATTTGAAAATTTTCAAAAACTGGTCTGTACATTTGTGTTGGCGGCTGTTTTCTACAAAATAAAACAAAAATCGTTCAAACATCATCAATAGTTCCTGAGAAAAAAGTACATGAAGTGACGAAGATTTGCATGCTTTCGAATAGGACAGGGGAGTCACCTTAAGTTCTCAACTGATCTTTGAATCTGACTTTCAGAAATTATTGCGGTCTCCTTATGTAGCTCTTTTCACATGTACCTCAGTTGATTACAATAATGCCCGATTTATCCATATCACCGATTTTACCTTATCGATGTGTTTAAATAATTTTTTGGTTAAGTAAACGTTTTATTGCAACTTAGGCTATTTTGAATGTTTTAATACCTCTTGAAACTTGTACTGGATTCTTTGGTGACTCCATTTCTATTTGTCGTGTATCATCTTCTTGCCACAATACACTGACTGACTGATTCTGTTTTATTTGTTTTAGGTGAGTGAACACGGCCTTAGCACAGGCGCATTGGTGGATCCAACAAATTGGCAACATTGTTTTTCTCCATTTAGACATATGTAAATGTATCGATTTTTGGAGGAGTCAGGTGTTCTGACATGTATCGATTATTTATTATAGGTTTAAATGGAGGATATCTGGTGTTACCAAATGCAGTCACATCAATCCATGCGCTCTCCCCCTTGGCAAAGCTCCCCTGTCCGACCCCCAGCTTCAAATGTAAGTACCTCATTCTGTGCGGAGGGATCTGTCAGGAAAGATCCATTAGACCACTAGTGATCTTGAAAATTAGGGAATTTTATTCGCAATTTGAATCGAGATATATATATCGCAGTAAAATAGTAAAATCAGGCATTTTGTCAAATGCCTAGGCAAATAGTCAAATATTCTGACTTACAAACGAATTTAAGATTTTTTTCCTAATTACAGATAAAAAAATTAATTACGCCTGAAAAAATCAATTATTTGTAGAAATGTGCATCGAACGATAGTATTTTGAACGATTTTTAGGTCCTGAACGAACATTTATCTTGAAATCTTCAGCATGTCTTAAAATACAAAATTTTCAAAATTAAAATATATCGTCGGCGTAAGTCCGCAATCATATATATCGTTCGCCGTGTCCGAAAATCTCCGCCTCTATGTTATTTTTTTAAAGGAGAACAAATTGACATCATTCCTTGAAGTTTATACAGAACTTCCTTCGCAAAGAGAAGAAAAATCACTGCAGTTTTACATAATTGTCGTTGGGTAGTTTTCCGTTTAAAAAATAAAGTATGACAGGGAGGCTTCGACGGCGCAAACCGAGTTATGTGATTGCCGACTTACACCGTCGATATGTAAAGCATTTGTAGAGGAAGAAAGAATAAGAGTTCATATTAGATTTGATGAGCTATGTTTCCCAAAATATTGAAAATTCGTGAGCTTCTCGCCATGAATTTACGAAATGTCGTAATCCGTTAAAATTTAACTGTTCGCCTAGGTATTTGATGATTTGCCTGATTTGACTAATCGCCTGCGACATATACTGCCGTGCTAAGGAAGAACGCCGTATGAAAATTCCAGAGTTGCCAAATTTAGCTTGATTAAACATGCATTTTCGACAACATTCATGCATATTTTTCCTTGAAATTTTCAGGTATTTTAGATTAAATTGCGTGAAAAATTGTCTGAAAATTGTGGGGGAAAATATTTAAAACTTTCCTTTAAAAAAATCGGTTTTTATCGAAGGAAACTTGGCAACGTCTGAGGGTTCATACGGCGTTCTTCCTTAGCACGACAGTATACATAGGGCATGGGGCATGAAGAGAATGGGTCTGTTGCACGCAAGAGATATACACCCAAATAAATATACTTTTTACGGGTGAGATCGCAAAAAAGTCACGTTTATCACGTTAATGACGTTGACTGAAATCCATACCTTAGCGCACAATCTGCGTAGTTTGTAATACGCTTTTTCAAGTTTCCCGCGTCTCCGGGCAGTTTTTCGCAGTCACCACCGACCACTTTCGCACAGGCAGGGGAGTAAGAAACTAATCTTAATAAACAAACGATTTCACTAACTTTTCTATTGTGAGATATCAATGGTCTTCCAGCGTTTGTTTCCTCCTTCTTTCCTTAGTGTTCTGAAACAAAAGTTTTGAATCGATTATGATATCTTACGCGAGGAGAGTTTATGACAGTTCGCGGGAATGTGTGTTTATTTCGGTTAGGTCTCTTCCCGGGAAAACCTGATTGCAAGCCACCATGGTAATTTTGGTAAAATTGGTAACGTGGCAAACGTGGTAAATTTGAAAAAGAGTGTTACAAACTTCGCAGATTGAGCGCTGAGGAGTGGATTTCAAACTTTTTTTATGCACCCGACGCGCTTTTTGAGCGAATTTATCCTTATAAAGGATATTCCATTGGCTATATTTCCTGCCTGCAGCAGACTCATTAACAGTTAGTGTGAGCAAGTTTTCACTTTCTTCTTTAAACTTTTCAGAATATCAATCGCAATTTTATCTAAAATAATTGAAAATTCGGGCAAACTCACTCATTTTATCACTCAGAGATAACTTTGCGAGAAGTTTGGCAACATCCAAATGTTCATGCGACGTGTATTTTAAATGCGTCAGTGATGTCAGCGTGAGTGCTAACGTTAGGTGACTGGAGAGGATATTTTTGGCGCGACACTTTTTGCTTTTTCCGAAAGTACGGACTTTAACCCCACCAGGATGGCGCGTGTGTATTTTTTAGGAAAATAAGGTTGGTAAAAAGAGCGAGGTCATGAATGTTCTCAGCTTTCTGAGCAG